TTATATGGTAAACCAGAGTAATATCTATAAATGAGATACTGGTTTACCCTCCGTGGATGTAAGCACCATTGCCGAACTACATATATGTCTTGTTGATTTTTTTTCTCTCTCAGCATTAATTCTTTTATTGTAAATTCTACATTGTATCAGAGCAGACCGATCTATCAGTAGCAATCCATTGCTCATCAGGGGTTGCTTCGTCTCTCTTAATCGTGGTCCATGACTTATGGGTTTGTCCATAGTCATGGAATGAGTTGAAGCCGAGGGTTCAGTGGCCATCGTTATCTACAACATAAAGGTCACGATGCTTGTTCCTTTCGTTTTTGCTTTAGCAGTAAGTTTTGTGAATTGGCTCCGTGAGGTTTGCAAATTGGTTCCGTGTGTTTTTGCTTGGGCAGTAAGCTTTGCCTTGGCCCTTGGAATGCAAGGTATGCAAGTTGGTGCAAAAGGTTTTGCACTTTTGAGGTTACGATTTCTCTTGTAATAACATTGTAAAATAATAGGGAAGGAAATTATTGTTAAAGGTTATACCATGAACCAGCAACCATGGTTCGTTCTTGAACTTGGTGTAAGCATCTAATTTATATACAAAGAAGCAATAATCGCCTTTGGGATATTAGGCAGTTTCCATAAAGAAAACACAATATTTCTCATTGGGATTTTCAGTCGATTTTGATTAAGGCGTCTTCTATTCTTTAATCACCCTTACATTGATCAGGTCAGTCTTGTCATTCCTGTCATTTTTTATAATGGCAGAGTCAAAAAAATAACTCCAGCATGAAACTTACTACTGTTCCTTTGAATGAAGTTAATGATCTTGTTTGGTCAAGAGTTGTTTCTCGTTCTCTCTTTGAAGATTTTAAACTTGGACACATGTGTAGGAAGAAAATCATGAATCTTGATTTCAAAGCATTGAAAGAAAGTGTTGAGAAATTTTATTTGGATGCTAATAAAGAGAAATATGAAACAAAAATGCCTCAAAATAGTGGTAATAAGTCAATAGACATATCTACTGCTCAGACTGCAACCACTCAAACTCATCATTGCAACTTTGATTATTATCAGTAATCAAGTAACAACAATAGTTCTTCTGCCACACATGATTCTTCTTCTTTATTCTCGGACACATGTAACCCCTATACTCTTATATCTTTTTGTGACACTTTTTTCTTGGATAATAGATTCAGGGGAGGATAATAGACTCAGGGGCCATAAATCATATGACTAGTAACGTGCAGTGTCTATCTAACGTAAAAAATGATAAAAATATGAACCCTGTGTCTATTGTTAATAGTTCATTGATTCATGTCCATGGTGTTGGTAAGACCAATTTCTTATCCAAATCACAAAACTCTGAAGTCCCTTTTATGCCATCATTTTCCTCTAATTTAATGTCTATTAGTAAAATTACATGGTGCATTACTTGCAATGTTATTTTCTCTCCCAACTCCGAGACTTTCCAAGATCGTGCCACGGGGAGGAAGATTGGTGAGATAGTATTATGAGTTATAATTATCCAGTCAAGAGAATAAGGCTTTGGTTGCCAGTCAAGATAATTCAAATATTAATAAATTGTGGCATTGGAGATTTGGACACCCTTCGGATAAAGTTTTAAAAATCTTAATACCCTCTATATCTTTAAACTCTCATTCTTGTGAAGTTTGCAAATTCTCAAAACAAACAAGACTTCATTTTCAGTCTTCTGTGCATGTTTCAAATGAACTATTTTATTTGATACATTTTGATGTCTGGGGATTAGCCCTAGTTGATTCTTAAGCTGACTTTAAATATTTTTTTACTTTTATTTATGATTGCTCTCGTGCTACTTGGGTATATTTATTGAAATAAAAAATAGAAGTTTTTTCTGTATTCAAAGAGTTTTCCAAATTGATTTCGACTTAATATAATGGCAAGATTAGAATTTTGTGAACGGATAATGGCACAGAGTATGTGAACAAAGCTTTTTCTGAGCTTTTATTGAATCTTGGTATTATATATCAAACATCGTGTGTTGGAACACTTAAGCAGAATGGAGTTGCTGAAAGGAAAAATAGACACCTTTTGGAAGCTACAATGTCTTTAATGTTTCAGATGCATGTTTCAAAAATTTATTGGTTTGAAGCTGCTGTAACTACTTGCTATTTGATTTACAGACTCTTAAGGATAAATCTCCCATTAAAATTTTGAAAAAATAGAAAAATTGATTTGTCCTATTTGTGAGTTTTTGATACGTGTCTTATGTTCATGTGGCTGGGCATAACCGGGATAAACTTGATAAACGTTCCAGTAGATGTATCATTCTTAGATACTCATCTACTCAAAAAAGATACAAATGTTATGTTCCCACAACTAGAAAAATGCATATTTCTAAATATGTTCAATTTGTTGAAACATATTCCTATTTCCATGACACATTGGAGAGTGGTTTAGAAAGTAGGACTCTGGGGGAGTGTTCAAGAGGTTGTTTGCCCTTGTCTAATATTAATACCAGTGATGTGTCTAACACATCTGGAACAAGTTATGACAATCAAACCGAAGTTGAAGAAAGTCAAGATGATCAAGCCGAAGTTGAAGATACTTCTGAAACTCACAAAGCTGGCTTAAAAGAGAAAGACTCCATCATGGCCCCACCTCGATCCCCTCTCGCGCAGGTCTTCTCGTATCTCTCAACCTTCCTCTAGACTTCAAGATTTTTATACTTACCATACAGTTTCTTATCATGTTCAAAAGCACATTTCCTATGAAAATATTTCTCCTGGCTACTTTGATTTTTTTAATTCTATTTCTAAAAATTCTGGGCCAACCAATTTTCAAATTGCAATTTCTCAACTTGTGTGAAGTAAGGCCATGAAAGAGAAACTTAAGCACTTGACAAGAATCATACTTGAGACATTGTCAAGTTACCGAAAACAATTGCATGTAGATGGATTTTTAAAATCAAATATAATAATGATGAGTTTATTGAGAGGCATGTGACCAGGTTGGTAGCCAAAGGATTTACCCAAACTGATGGAGTCGACTATAAGGAGACTTTTGCACCAGTTGCCAAAATGAATGTGATTCATGTTCTTTTGTATATCGCAGTTAATTGTGGATGGTCTCTGCATCAGATGGATGTTCAAAGTACTTTCATACATGGTAACCTTCAAGAAGATGTCTATACGAGTCTTCATCCGGGCCATTCTAAAGAAAAGGAGGAATGTCTTGTAAGCAAATTAAAGAAGGCTTTGTATGGACTAAACAATCACCTCGCGCATGATATGCCAAACTCTGCTCAGCATTAACAAGTATCGGGCTCAGCATTAACAAGTATCGGGTTTCTTAAAAGTTCAGTTGACTCTTCGATGTTCACAAAAGTGAAAAATTTAGGTACAACAGTTGTACTCATTTGTGTTGACGATATTATCATTACAGGTAATGTTAAAAAAAGCGTCATGAAGCTTAAAAATTATCTTCATAGGAAATTTGACATCAATGATCTTGGTCAACTAAAATATTTTCTCAGCATTAAAGTAACCCATTAAAAAAAAGACTCCTCATTCCTCAAAAGAAATATGTATTACATCTGTTGAAAGAAACTGGGAAACTAGGAGTCAAACCCGTTGACACTTATGTTTATATTAATTGCAAGCTTAATTCAACAAATGAAAAGCCTTTTGAAGATGTGTGCTACTTTCATAGACTTGAGGGAAGATTGATTTATTTGACTGTGACACGACCAGATATAATGTATGCGGTTAGTCTTGTGAGCCAATTTAAGCTGCTCCTATATTAAATCATATGGAAGTTGTTGATAGGATTATTAAATATCTTAAGTCGTCACCCAACATAGGTGTTTGGTTGAAACTAAATTGTCATATTAATATTATTGGTTACTTTGATGTTGATTGGGTAGGTAGTCCAATTGACAGGAGGTCCACTACCGACTATTGTACATTGAACGAAGGAAACTTAGTTACTTGGAAAAGTAAGAAACAAAATGTATTTGCTTGATCCAGTGTAGAGGCCGAATATAGAGTTATGGTTTCAATTGCAAGTGAATTGATGTGGCTAAAATAGCTACTTCGAGATATGGGATTCCCAACGGTCAATCCAATGGCGATGTTCTATGATAATCAAGAAGTTATGCATATAGTCTCTAATCCAATTTTCATGAAAGACCCAAGCACGTAGAAGTTGATTGTCACTTTGTGAGAGAAAATGTTTAGTAAAAAATTATTAGTATTCCTTATGTTCGAAGTGAGGACCAACTTGCAGACATGTTTACCAAAGCTATTGCAAAAGCAAAGTTCCATCTAATATTGTCCAAGTTGGGCTCCATTGATATTTACGCACCAACTTGAGGGGGAGTGTTGAAGATTATAGCAATACGTTATTAAGTTTATAAGATATCGAGTTTCCTATATGGAGTTTCCTATTTTTCTATTTTGTGGAATTACAATTGTAATGAGATTAGTTTCCTTAAAGATAAGAATTCTAATTCTATATATATCTTTGGTAAACCAGAGTAATCCCTATGAATGAAATATTGATTTAACGTGCATGGATGTAGGCACCATTGCCGAACCACGTATATGCCTTGTTGATTTTTTCTCTCTCACCATTAATTTTTTTATTACAAATTCTATAGTTAATAACAACATCAAATTAGAATACAATTCTCTAATAGGCACAAAGTGCACCATAGCCTGTTATTTATGTTATTGATCTTTGATGGTCATTAGTACAATTCTCTAATAGGCACAAAGTGCACCATAGCCTGTTATTTATGTTATTGATCTTTGATGGTCATTAGTTAGATTCAATGAGTCAACGGGCCAGTGAGTTCGTTACTCACGAAACACTTTTCCAAAAGCCATCGGGATGGCGAATAATCTTGAAGCCTATTCTCTTGATGAAATCCATCATTTTAGAGCATATACTCTCTAAAAAATGATACATGCGATTTTACTCAGGTAAACTCATGTATGGAGGCACACTTAATGCCATAGGACATATGCTATTACATAGGCAAGTAGGCATTAGAAATCTTTTTTTCCTTCAAATCGGATGAAAAATGAACTTTTGGGCATACGTATTACAAAATATGGGACGGCCACAGACATAGCATATCTGTGGCCGTCGAAAAATCTTCACTACCCCAAAAAATGGACAGCGATGGTGCTATGGACGAGATCATTGTAGCATGTCGCCCATAAAATGGACAGCGATGCTGCTATGGACGACATCAGTGTAGATGCCGTCGAAAAATCTTCACTACCCCAAAAAATGGACAGCGATGGTGCTATGGACGAGATCATTGTAGCATGTCGCCCATAAAATGGACAGCGATGGTGCTATGGACGACATCAATGTA